AAAAGACAAATACACCTCTGTACATAGATAACTAAAATACAATTTTTTGAAGGCACTCTAAGCCACGCCAAATAACAAAAAGATGTAAAAGATAAAGAGAAGAAGACAGAATGAATAGCAACAAATTTTTTGATATTGTCATCTGTTTTTTTTCCTTTTTTTTTTATTCTGCTTTATTTTATTCTCGTCTTCTTCTTCGTTCGTGAACTTAATTTCACAAACATTTACTATTATATTAATACTTTAAAAAAGTTAATAAGAATAATGAATTTTTTTTAATGGTCTTTTACAATGTTACTCTTTTTTTTTGTGCAAACCCGTCAAACGCAACATCAATTCAGTAGTTTTTTTTATCATGCGTTCAATGAATATGCTCAGTTGAACTCCTCAAATTTAGACAACTCTTTCCGATCTCTTTGCATTTTTTTACCTTATTCCCACTCGTGATCCCAAAAAAGATTTCTTTGTTATTGGTGTATATCTGCTGTTTCAGTGTACTGCGCATATGCGATTGCCAGGTACACGGTAGAAAGCAAATTTATAATATACAATATATAAACAACTAGAAACTTCTTTCCTACTCCGTTTAGTCACACTTTGAAATTTTAGACTGAAAAGATTTACAAAACTGACAGAAATGTTAGCAAACAACATTTACACTTATCATTTTCCGCATTAATACGTCCATGCAAAAGCAAATTAAATTTTGAAAGACCAAAATAAAACTTTCAGCGGCATCCGCAAAGCTAAAACGTCCAAATAGCTGCAAAAAGAATAACCTTAAAATCTGACAGTTACAGTCAAGTATATCTATTCGTGATTCAAAAGCAAAAACAATTTTCTTACCTTCTATTACGACAAATTAGCCCTTAAAGAGCGATAGAATGATATATTCTATACAGCCCACTATGTTCGTCATCACAGCATCAAAATGATTAAATAAATGTTGTAATTTTAATCATATTACGCTACAAAAACTAACCTTAAAATTTTTTTCCCTTCGTTTTTACTTTTTTTGACTCTTTTATTGCTTGCAGTATATTTAAATGATAAAAAAATGAAGCATAAAGAAATAAAAAGCGAAAACAATTAGAAATAGTAACAAGTAAAAATATAATTTATGTATAAAACAAAGAAATATTATCCATTCATAAAAAACAGCAGCTCTCAAAAAGTAAAAAGCTTCCACAAAAAATAACCGTGCTTTTGAATATTCTCCTTTTATTTTTTTGGTGATTTATCCGATAATATTGTCACTAAATTGTGATGCGAAGCCAAGATGAAGAAAAAGCAGCAGTAGGGCAATAACTATTTTCAATAAAAATGACCTACTAAAGACGCAAAATAAAGCTCAAAAAAAGGGAAGGTGAACACAAGTTGAAAAAAAAAAAAAAATAACAGCAACCAAAACTGAAAGTGTTGGTGTTGGCTATTTGGTCGATATCTGGCGTCGAAGATGGTGACAGTGACGAAGACAACGTCAGCAATGATATTAAAAGACGATCGTACTTAAAACAGCGACAAAATAAGAGTTTCAAAGCGATTTTCACCTTCGAGAACACTGACACTTCTTCTGTTCTGTTCTGTTTTTCCTTTTTTTTTTTTTCTTGAATTTACTTCACTGTCACCTAAAATATCTTTTCAGTTGCTGGTTTGCGTTGAATTTTTTCAAAAAAAAAAACTTTTTCTAACTCTCTTTTTTTTATTCGACGCTCTTTTCTTCTTCACTATCATTCCGTACAGGCTTTGAAAGCGCCTAACCACAGCGTCAATGACAACGATTGTTGTTCCACAGCTGCAAATGCATAGCAAGCTATAACATTTATTTATTTTGCACAGTCAATATACGTCGACATCTGTTCTGGATGATTTTATTAGTCATTTAGTCAGTACTCGTCTATTCAAATCTAAACACTTTTTTAATAACAACAGTAACAAAAAAATCATTTTTTCTTCATTTCACGATATGCTTTGAAAGTTCATTTGTCTGTCTATTCATTCATTTTTAAAA